GCTCTCTAGGCTGTGTTTTGAATCCAGGTTTAGTTGAGTTCTCAGATGCCATGTGGTCAGTAGAGTCAGGGGCTAATACTATCATGCCTTTACTCCCATCCCCCCCTGGGGCTGCAGTAGAGAAGTCTTTATTATGTAAAAGGGACTAGCTTGGCCTTCTTAATGGCCCATTGACAAAGCAGGAAACTACAGGCAGCTATTCTGTCTTTTAAAACATGTTTCTTTCTTTTCACATCCAGAGAAATATTCTGACTTTTCAATATTTCCTAGGATATTTCCTGGGAGAGGGCTGGATGATAACTTCCCACAGCGTAGCCATCTCATCCCTGAATAGTGCAGAGAAAGAACTGGGCCTTCTCACCTTCTGAGCTCCAGGGTCTCTGAAGTCTCCCGAAGGGCCAGCAGGGCCCCTTAGCTGTTCTAATGGGGGGCATATTCCATCAGGCAGGGTCCACAGTAGAAAAAGCCCCTTTGCTCTGCTTTCCCCCACTCAGCCGATGGGATCTGCAGCCTGGCCAATCTGTTGGACCAGAGAGATTGGGTGGGTAGAAACTCTTGGGAAAAGATGGGTCCTCAGGCAGCCATTACAATCCAAAGTTGTTTCTCTACAATTAGTGGGAAATGATATACCCGGAACTTTAAAATACTTGTGGGCCTGTTATGTTTCGTGGCATAAGACAGGTTGCATCTTTGTATGTAAAATTAGGTGACAAACAGCATGAAGTGACAAAGGAAGGCAATGAACATATTGTATCTCTGGAAACTGACATTAAAGGATGCACCAGATCTGAAGGATCTTGTGGAGTGAAAGCGAGGAAAACCTGCATGGAAGTGAAGGTGTATGTTTAATTGTGAACAAAAAGGCTAGAAGAAAGAGCAAAATCATGCATTGTAGGCGGTTGTGGGTGCACTTTAGTGAACGGTGATAATGAAAAACAAAACCAAATAAAAGATTTGGGGGAAATCGTGCCACATTCTAAGTGGCTGGATTCAGAGGAACAAATTCTATTAAGTGATGTGAATGGATGGATAGAAACTAAAGGGAAAAAAACAAGCAAAAGTTATTGGGACTTTTCCAAAATTTCAGAAATGAGCAAAAAAGAAAAAGATGTCAACAGTACCCAAATCGATTCCTAAAATGGGCCTTATATTGTTTCGGATGCCCAGAAATAAAAGCCCAGGAAGAGGCTTTTAACAAAAAACCCAAAAAGGGGGCTTCCTGGGAGGAGCCTACTGGTGAAGGCAGCAAAAAATCAGCTGCCTCCGAATTCCTGGCTACGTACCTG